ATAATAATTATATATATATATATATATATATATATATATATACCAAATAAAAATGTCTGGTTTTACGATGTCGAATTTTCAAAATTTTGCTTGCGACATCTATATCATTTAGCAATGCTGCAATTTTGGATGCATTTTCCATTACATAAACTCGCGTGACCCTGTATTTTACGCGGCTGATGGCGTTGAAATAAATTCATCAAAATAAACGAAAGTAAATCGACGCCATTCTCCGCTTTTCACGCTTTCATCATTCGAATACACGTACATGCATACGTCCGCACAAATCAGAGGTGGCTCCGTATCCCGTGTCTCTTTCCCATAGATAAAGACACCGTAAAGGCAAAGCACCAAAAATATACATCGAACAGCTGCGTGAGAAGTGATTGAACATTGTTGTTTTGTGTCCCAGTAGCCGATGCTCACAAATCCATAACACACGTAGACGAATGTGACGTGCGCACGCGTATTGTAACAGAAATGCAAATGAAGGAATGCACCATATATAATTGGATTACAAACACCATAGACCAAGCGCAACTTTCTTCGAGCGTAACTTTCGTATTCATCGTATCATTTAGTCACGGAAATGTGATCATTGCGTTTATATCCGTTATAAATTAATTGTACGCACGGCTTACCGGATGTTATGTGCTTAGTCAAATGAAGAATTGAAAAATGACGATTGGAGAACGCGAGCGCGAGCGCGCGCATCCATTTATGTAATACATTTACGAAAAATAGTTTGCGCAGCTTTTCGCAAAGTTGAGCAAACTATGAATAAAGCACGAGTAATTGTAACGCTGTAAACACCATATACAACACACGAATACAACATTAATAACGACAATTTTCGATAAATATTCGATTTATTTAATAAAGCTCGAACGCTAACAAGGGTGATGACAAAAAAATTTTTTTTAAATTGAGAGTGTACAATCTTGCTTAAACATTTTATATACTTCAAGAGAGCTATATATTGGTTTTAGATTACAATTATATATCAGATTAAAAATTATATATCATCATCAGTCTGTGATAATTTTAATAATTTTTTATTCCAAGTCTTATTCTTATTATTTACTCTTAGTCTTATTATTTAAGTAAGTCCGAGTACAATACCAATTATTATTTCAAAAGTAAGAAAAAAAGAGAAGACGAAGATTGCCCTGGTTTATCCAGCAGATCCTGTTTCTTGGTATTCACAAATCGAGCCTAAAAGTCACTTTAGATTTCGTCTCTTTAATCATTCACGCACTTTTTGTCTCGCGCTTTTTGTTACATCGCGTTGTACCTCTTCTTGCCTACACT